TGTCATCAATTCAAAATGTGCCAATTTACAATACAATTTTGAGTCATTTTCGCAGTCTGATCTAATGACAAATCAAGAAAGAGAGATGATCTTGACCATCCATTTAGATAGCAGGAAAAGGCAGGGAAATCGGAGCATTGCATTCTGGGATACAGTATCCTATGCAGTGTGCTCTGGTTGTATCCTCCTCATTTTGGTGTATTAACGTAGTACGTCATCCATTCTTGCAAATCAATTTTGCATAACGTGTAAGATGAAATTGTAAGTAGTATGCCGTCCCAAACATACCAACACACTGCCATATTGCTTAGTACAAAGACAATGAATGGGTTTGACTCCCTCACAAAGAAACCCAAATTATATGTTGACAAATATCAGGTAAAATTATTAACCAGCACTTTTGCCGCAAGTGTAATAAACAAATAAATCCATCAATCATAATTACTTTACATGCTACTATCAAGCCTTCATTTGCACATTAGGCAATTAGCCAAGGACCCATTGTCCATCTAAATTAATAAAGAACATTGAAGGCTAGATCTCTCAGCTGCAGCTTATTGTGACGCCCTGTTTCCAGTGAGATTCAATTGCTGACAATACTTAATTTGTTACTGTGATATTGATCCTCATTGTTCCCTGACATCTGAAAACATGCAGCTGCAACAGTAATGATGACTTTGGATAATGATTATAATGCACAACAATGGACAGCTTTAAGGCCAAACAGGCTATTGCACTGACGGAATATTACCAAGGCATCTATTTATCTATGATAAAAATATATCTCTCCACATTCTGATAAGTCAAATAAATACATCATTTTTTTCTTAAAATAATATATATATGTGTATGTGTGTGTGTGTGTGTGTGTGAAATAGTAATATATGTAGTGAAAATAGTGAGGCATCAAAATAATTTTTTGATAAAATCCAAAATTAAAGTTTTCAATTAGCAGAAGGCCAAAACTCAAAATAAAGTTTGCGTAATTAAAACCGTGGAATTGAATGTGCTGTTCATGGTGTTGTGTTATTAGGTGTAGTAAAGTTCTACAGCAATGAGTCATCTCCCGATATTTCAGAACAAATTTTACAAATTTGGTTGTTTAGCATCATTTTTTGTTAACTGTAAAGTTTGTCCACACAGCTGACATGTTTACCTGTTGTAGCTTATTCAAACTGTGTACATGAAATAGACAATGACACACTTTATGGCTTCGATTAATGGATTCGGCCCTCCAAAACTATTTTGGCTGAAACCAATCATTTAGTGGGTGTTTTTTTTTTTTTTGCTTTTTAGGCCGAATATTTCCAGTTGCCAAAATTCTGGTGCATCACAAGGTTATAATATAATAAGTAAAGCTTTCTAATGATCCACTCAAAAAATGTCATTATTTTATTTAAAATGCCAAATGTTTTGAAATAATAACCAGGTATAGAGTCTGTACTAGAGTACTAGAGACTGTACATGTCTCACATGAAGACATGCCCATTTCCTTTCCAGCACAATGAAAAGTTGGAATGCCATTATCGGCGAGATGTAGGTCACCTAAACTTTAAAAAAACGCTTTTGATTAACATATGTTTGCATCAGGACCTCAAATAACGTTTTTCAAATAAACACATATTTTCAGAAGGGGACCCCACAATTAGTAACTTGAAACTCGCTCTCCGCATGTAGGTCCAATTCTCTGGAATCAATCAAAACTCCCAAAGGAACTCCCCATTCCCCCCTTAATCTCCTGGTTTTATTACTTTCCAGACAGTCTGCCCATTCCACCCAGCCCCCCATTCCTCTCTTTTGTACTGATCTCCAGCAAAGCCTGTGATTTTTTACCACAGCACATTGCTTTTCATGCAGCAGAGCAGCTTTCATCAGTCTCCGCACGCAAGACAGCCCAGCCACAAACTCCACTACGGCCTGCTCTCACCATACATGATCCTAATAATCAAGCACACGGATCCAAACTAGTGAAAACATGTTGCCAATATTAATGAAAGAGTTAAATGATGCATCACGCAAATTAAATGTGAGCATTTTCCTATTCAATTTGAACAAATAGTATGAATGAACTAACAAAAGATGGATAGATTCAATTTCTTTGCTCTGAAGCAAAAAATCACAACCACCTACTCTAAAGACATATTTACACAGCTGAGTTAAGGCTGCTCTGTGCCGGTTCCATGTTCTGTGCCAGAATGCAATGCAATGGCACATAAGACAGTACTAAATCAAATTCTGACCCAGCTCAGTCCCCGTATCAAAGGTGCCTCTGATGCTGCATTGGCTCTGTGTAATTGAAATGGAATCTTTAACGTTGCTATCGTCATGCCCTATAAGTAATTATTCACAATATTAGTTTATTCATAGTTTCCCCATTTATAAAACTGATTTCAAAGGAATATTCCAGAAAATATAATCAGTGTAAATACATTTATGCCGCCAATATGCAGCATTAACCAGTCTGTATAAATGCATCTTTTAAAGGTGTTTATGCAGCTTCTGTGCTGCCTTTTCAGTGTAAAGACACCATTATATAGGCCTATGTAAGCAATGGTTTTTGTCCCAGGTATGTTTTCTTTTTGGTTTCAAGGAAAGTAATTCACTTTCACTCTTCGACCCAGAGCTGTACAGACACCAAAATAAATAGGGTAGATGTTCTTCAAAAAACACATAGCCTATTTCTATGTTTTCTTTCAAGTGTGCAGTGAAAACAAATACCCTATTCGACTGATGCCGTCTGTACAAAAAAATATCATGGATTAACCACTTTTTTGCATGATATGATGCAAAAGATCTATGATTTCTTACGGAGACAGTGTCTGTAGACATGCCCATTTCCTTTCCAGCACAATGAAGAGTTGGAATGCCATTATCGGCGAGATGTAGGTCACCTAAACTTTAAAAAAACGCTTTTGATTAACATATGTTTGCATCAGGACCTCAAATAACGTTTTTCAAATAAACACATATTTTCAGAAGGGGACCCCACAATTAGTAACTTGAAACTCGCTCTCCGCATGTAGGTCCAATTCTCTGGAATCAATCAAAACTCCCAAAGGAACTCCCCATTCCCCCCTTAATCTCCTGGTTTTATTACTTTCCAGACAGTCTGCCCATTCCACCCAGCCCCCCATTCCTCTCTTTTGTACTGATCTCCAGCAAAGCCTGTGATTTTTTACCACAGCACATTGCTTTTCATGCAGCAGAGCAGCTTTCATCAGTCTCCGCACGCAAGACAGCCCAGCCACAAACTCCACTACGGCCTGCTCTCACCATACATGATCCTAATAATCAAGCACACGGATCCAAACTAGTGAAAACATGTTGCCAATATTAATGAAAGAGTTAAATGATGCATCACGCAAATTAAATGTGAGCATTTTCCTATTCAATTTGAACAAATAGTATGAATGAACTAACAAAAGATGGATAGATTCAATTTCTTTGCTCTGAAGCAAAAAATCACAACCACCTACTCTAAAGACATATTTACACAGCTGAGTTAAGGCTGCTCTGTGCCGGTTCCATGTTCTGTGCCAGAATGCAATGCAATGGCACATAAGACAGTACTAAATCAAATGTGGTAGCTCTGACCCAGCTCAGTCCCCGTATCAAAGGTGCCTCTGATGCTGCATTGGCTCTGTGTAATTGAAATGGAATCTTTAACGTTGCTATCGTCATGCCCTATAAGTAATTATTCACAATATTAGTTTATTCATAGTTTCCCCATTTATAAAACTGATTTCAAAGGAATATTCCAGAAAATATAATCAGTGTAAATACATTTATGCCGCCAATATGCAGCATTAACCAGTCTGTATAAATGCATCTTTTAAAGGTGTTTATGCAGCTTCTGTGCTGCCTTTTCAGTGTAAAGACACCATTATATAGGCCTATGTAAGCAATGGTTTTTGTCCCAGGTATGTTTTCTTTTTGGTTTCAAGGAAAGTAATTCACTTTCACTCTTCGACCCAGAGCTGTACAGACACCAAAATAAATAGGGTAGATGTTCTTCAAAAAACACATAGCCTATTTCTATGTTTTCTTTCAAGTGTGCAGTGAAAACAAATACCCTATTCGACTGATGCCGTCTGTACAAAAAAATATCATGGATTAACCACTTTTTTGCATGATATGATGCAAAAGATCTATGATTTCTTACGGAGACAGTGTCTATGACACTCCAACAGTGCGCGAAAAGCACTCTTGAAGCTCTGATTTACAAATACATGAGGTTATTAACCTATAATTAACGAGATTTAATTACTTATTTTCCACGAGGCCGGTTTGGTGACTCATTATTTAATAATGGAATGAGGTTTTCTATTCAGGTGAAAACGTGAAGGTGTCAATGCAGATCACACCTTTGCAGTTAATGAGCCTTTTTCATGACAAACATAAAGATTAAAAAGCGATATTACACGTTTTGATTTATGAGGCTGTCTGAACAGAGCGTGTCCGATGATAAAAATCCTCGATTTTGTGTTAGTTGTCGAAGTCAGTGGTTCCCAACCCTGGTCCTGGAGGCACCCCAACACTGCATGTTTGCAGGTCTCCTTAATCAAACACACCTGATTCAGGTCAT